TTTTTTCTTTTTGCTTATGTGGTGCTGAGGAATCGAACCCAGGGCCTCAGGCATGCAAGGCAAGCGCTCTACCACTGAGCCACCTTCCCAGCCCCTTGCCCATGTAATTGTAACTCCTCTGTATGGTATTCTCACAATAAAAAAAGGGGGGGGGACAACAAAAAGCCCAAGCAAATCAATCACCAAAAGGAATCTAGAAAAAAAATTATTTTTGTTTTTTTGTTTTGTTTTGTTATTGGTCAGTCATGGGGCTTGAACTCTGAGCCTGGGTGCTGTCCCTACGCTCTTCAGCTCAAGGAGAGTGCTCTACCGCTTGAGCCACAGCACCACTTCCTAGAAAGAATTTTAGAGCATATGATCTTACAAATATGAATATACTCTAGGCAATGAGGGAGGGTATCTGAAATCAGGACTATATCAGAAAATGAGCCGTATAGTAATTACATCTACCTGACACGCTGGATCTGTCTGTAGGCAATGTACTTGCGAACTAGGTACTCCAGCCGAACTGTGTCCATATGAATTATCTCAGTTATGAGATTCCAAGCTGTTGTGTATTGTTCTGCAGAGAGTCCAGAAACTTTTGTGGCCTGATTTAACAATATCAGGTTCTTCCTCTGAGCCTCCACATCAACAAAATACCTCTTCTCTTCAAGGTCTTGGGGAGAGGAAGGAGGCACTAAGATCTTGGCTGGAGTTATAATCCCGGGCTTGTCTATTGAGGGCAGTAGGGGTTTCAGATCCCATTCAGAAGGTGAGATCTGTAACGTTTTGGGTAGTTGAGTAATAAGAGTAGGTGGTGATTTTACAGGCTTTCTTAGAGTGGGAAGGGCTTCATCAATGTAAGAAGTTTGTAATACTGGTCGCCTATAATCAGCGAAGTAGGACTGGGTTAATTCTGGGGACTTCCAGGTAACTTCAGAAGCGTCAGAGACCTCTGATATTTCAGCCTTCTTGATAGTGAAAGGAGGTTGATACACTTTGAAATCTGAAGCCCGTGGATGGGTTAATACTGATTTAGGTTTCAGAGAAGCAATAGTTGCCAGTTTTTTTTGAGTTGCTGAAGAAGAAAGGACTGTCTTGGGCATTTCAAGGGTTGGGAGAGTCCGTTGTATAGAGGGTTGCTCAGTGATAGGAGATATCTGTAATGGGGAAACTTGCCCAGAAAGGGTTTTTGTAATAAGATCCTGCTCAAGAGTAGGAGTCTGAAAATAGGAAGGTTGCTCAGTATAAGCAGGAATCTGTAATTCCTGTATTTGGTCTGAGAAAGCTAGGAGTCCAGATTCCAGGAACTCCCTGGGGATGGAATGGGCCCCAGGAATCAAGGACTGTCCAGGAGATAAAGGAGCCGACAATCTGGGAATCTGTCCAGAGGTAAGTGGGACTCCAGATAAAAGAGGTAGGCTGCCAGTTAGAGGGGCCTCTGGTCTCGAAGGAGGCTTGGGAGTCAGGAACTGCTTTGGAGTGGCAGGAGCCCCAGCAATTGGGAGCTGCTCAAATTGGGAAGGGACCTCTGGTGTTAGGGATGGTGCAGGAGTGGTTTGACCTCTATATGTTGGGATCTGTCTAGACATAGGAGGGATCCCTGGTGCCATGAGCTTTGTAGAGACAGAAGGAACACTTTTTTCTAGGTGCTTTGGAGGTGCAATGGGAGCCTGAGCAAGAGGAGGCTTTGATTTCTTCAAAGGAGTAGGAGGTATCTTAAATATAGAGGACCTCTGAGGAGATGATTTCAGGGACTTCTTAAGGCTTGGAGTTAAAGTTGGTATTCTGGGTTGCCCAGTGGGGAGAGTAGTCTTCAGTTCCTTAAATGGTCTGAGAGTGGAAGGAACCAATGTGTCAGACTTTTCCAAAGTTTGAGGAGTATGAAATGTCTGAGCTTGTTGACGAGAGGAAGTGACTGGCAAGGGTTGCAACTGCTTAAAGGTAATGATGTTTGATTCTTCTTGAGACTTTTCTGGAATAAAAGAAACTCCCAATTTCCAGGCTTGTTCTTCAGTGACAGGGACTTCTAATTCTGGTTCCTGCACAGAGGTGGGAGTGATAGCCGATGCTCGAGCTTGTTGCTGGGTAAGTTTGGTACTTAAAGTCCGGGCTTTCTTAGGAGTGATCATCAATGCTTGTTTCTTTGCTGAGACAAGACCATCCTGCAATGGCTGGACCTTTCTTGAGATGCTGGAGACTTCCAATAACTGATCTTGAGCAGAAGTGAGAGGAGGCCACAATGCCTGAACTGGCTTTGGAGTAAAGGCGGAGCCAAATGCCTTCATCTGCTCTGGTGTGAGAGGGACTTCCAATGCTTCAGTCTGTGCCTGCTCAAGAGTAAAAGTGATCCCCAGGGCTTGGGCCTGCTGAGGAGTAAGTGTGATCCCTTCAGCCTGGGCCTGCTCAGGGGTAAGAGTGATCCCTAGGACCTGGGCCTGCTGAGGGGTGAGAGTGATCCCTTGAGCCTGGGCCTGCTGAGATGTGAGTGAGATCCCTTGAGCCTGGGTCTGCTCAGGGGTGAGAGTGATCCCCAAGATCTGAGCCTGCTGAGGAGTGAGTGTGATCCCCTGAGCCTGGGCCTGCTCAGGGGTAAGAGTGATCCCCAGGACCTGGGCCTGAGGAGGGGTAAGAGTGATGCCTTGAGCCTGGGTCTGCTCAGGGGTAAGAGTGATTCCTAGGATCTGGGCCTGCTGAGGAGTGAGTGTGATCCCCTGAGCCTGGGCCTGCTGAGGGGTGAGAGTGATCCCTTGAGCCTGGGCCTGCTCAGGGGTAAGCGTGATCCCCAGGACCTGGGCCTGCTGAGGAGTGAGTGTGATCCCTTGAGCCTGGGCCTGCTCAGGGGTTAGAGTGATCCCAAGGGCCTGGGCCTGCTGAGGGGTAAGAGTAATCCCTCCAGCCTGGGCTTGCTGAGGGGTGGGAGTGATCCCTTGAGCTTTAGCCCGCTTAGGGGTGGGAGTGATCCCTACTGCCTTGGTCTGCTGAGGGGTAGGAGTAATCCTCTTAGCCCTGGCTTGTTGAGGGGTGGGACTGATCCCCCGAGTGCGGGTCTGCTGAGGGGTGGGAGTGATCTGCTGAGCCTGGGCTTGCTGAGGAGTGGGAGTGATACCCAGGGCTTTGGCCTGCTGAGCAGTGGGAGTGATCCCCTTAGCCCGGGCTTGTTGAGGGGTGGGAGTGATTCCCCGACCACGGGCCCGCTTAGAGGTGAGACTAATACCCGGCACCTGGGCCTGCTGAGGGGAGGGAGTGATCCCTTTGGCCTGAGCCTGCTCGGGGGTAAGAGTGATCCCTAGGGCCTGGGCCTGCTGAGGGGTGAGACTGAGCCCAAGGGCCTGGACCTGCCCAGGGGTGAGAGTGATCCCTTGAGCCTGGGCCTGTTCAGGGGTAAGACTGAGCCCAAGAGCCTGGGCCTGCTCAGGAGTAAGAGTGATCCCCTGAGCCGGGGCCTGCTCAGGAGTAAGAGTGATCCCCTGAGCCTGGGCCTGCTCAGGGGTAAGAGTGATCCCCTGAGCC